CATCGACTCGTAGAGGAGGAAGTAGCCCATCCACTCGGAAATGATAATGTCGACGTGCTGCACGGGCAGCTCGACTTCCTCGACCTTGCCCTTGATGAGCGTAATGCGGTCCGAGAAGCCATTGTCGTGCACAATCTGCTTGGCCTGCGTGATGATGCCGGAGCAGTCGATGCCGTAGACGTGCGCGGCGCCGGCCTTGGCCGCAAACATGGAGAGGATGCCCGTGCCGCAGCCGACGTCGAGCACGACCTTGTCCTTGAAGAGGTGGCCGTTCTGCAAGATCGCGTTCATGTACGTCTTGGTGCGCACCGCGTCCTTGAGCATCTCCTCATGGATGCCAAAGTGCGAGTACGAGTCAAAGTAGTAGTCCTTGGACGTCATGCTGCTGTCGGTCGTCGTCGTCGTCGGGGCGCTCATATCTGGATCGGATCGAAAATGGAGCTCTTGGTGCCAGAAGCAGATTATTACACGTTGCCAACCAATTGTTCCGCGTGTCGGCTTTAAACGCGTTTAAACACACACGACCGGCCGGATACGCGCGGAAGAGACGCGCCAAAGGGGTTTGACCTCGGAACCGACAGGCCATCGACGTCGCCGCGCAGCTGCGGTGGAGGCACGTTCCTCCCACGTTTACCACGGGCGAGCAGAGGTTTACTGTGGCACGCACGCAATCACTCCTCTCCGGTTCGATGATCCAGGCCGAGCCACATCCAAGGGATAAGATCTCATGATGCCTCAGGCTCGAACGCTCGGCGCAGCCCTCAATGAGGCGCTCACACCTTGGAGGACATTGGGCGTCGAGCCCGTTGGCTGTCGAAGTGACAAGAGGCTGCCATCCTTGGGAATAATTTGTCATGCGTGCCACAAAGTGCAGGAGGAGGAGACGGGATGTGGGGAGAGACTTGTCTATCCGTTGCGTGCGCATTGGATTATGTTATTAAGTCCACAGCCAGGCCAGCCCTAAAACCACGAGCTCACGAAACAACTAGTGTTTCGGTCGCTTAGATGGCACCGCGGTTGCCACCCTTCTTGGCACCGCCGCGGGCGACGTTCTTGTTGACGGCCTTGTTGATCGGGGCCTTCTCGGCCTTCTTGGCCTTGGTGCGGTCCTTGGCCTCCCTAATTCGCGAAGTGATGATCAGCATCCTGCGCGCTTCAACACTGTTTTATCGTACTTCAAGGCGGCGTCGCGGGCAGCGGCGCGGACGGCGGGCTTCTGGTTGCGCTTCTTCTTGAGTTCCTCAACCGAGACGCCGACGATGGCACGCTGGATCTTCGTGGACTTGCGAGCACGGCGACGCGTGACTTCCTCGACCTACGCGCGAGCTTAAGTCTTTCGTGCAATGCGCCTCGTCGACGTACGCGAAGCTTCTTGTTCATGCGGCGCCAGCCGAGCGTCCACACGATCTTAGCGGGCTTCTTGCGCTGCAAGAAGAGCGACTTGCACTTCGAGTTGAGGAGCATGAAGGCGTTGCCGTCCTTGCGGATGAGGCGGGTGCCGTGGCCGGGGTAGATGCGGCTTTCGCTGAACGCGCAAGTGTCGGTCCTAGCACGATGATGCGCATGAGCCTCTGCTGCATGCTGCCGGGCGCGGGCGACGCTACGTACTTGATCACCATTTTGGTCTTGAGGTAGCTGTGGAATTAAAGCCAATTGCTCAGTATGGAGGCGAAATTTACCCCCGGCCGCCAAAACCAGTCTTTTCAAGCACCCTTTTGGTTGGCTCTCCAACGCTCTTCTTTTCGACCAATCCGCATCCATACTCACCCGAGTTTTGACCAATCCCAGGCCACATCATTTCCATTGTTTAAATAGTGTACGACAACAGACTATTTCCAGCCGAAAGTAAATAGTGTCACAACGATGCGCAAGGAAGGAGATGCGGAGCCGACCGAGGTATATATGCATGCGTGGCGTCGGGATGTAGTACGACTACACGCATTAGCCGTGCATACTGGCTATCTACGCTACTTCCATGCCTCGCCGAGGTAGGCGAAGAAGGCGAGGTAGAGGAAGACGAGGAGGAAGATCGCGAGCTGGACCCATCGCGTCGGCTGGAAGCCCGAGACGAGGTAGAGCGAGTAGTCGGCCGAGCCGGAGAGGACCGTCATGTCGTCTTCGTACTCGCGGATCCGGTCGTCTTCGTGGGCGCTCGGGTCACTAGAGAACGTCGATACGTGAGACGACCTACATCGCCGCATCGCCTCCTACAGGAGCATGGGCGGGAGGAACGCGAGGCCTGTCGACGGAAGGTAGTGCGCCGAAATCGTCTTGAGAAGGCGCAGCGCATCGTACGTGAAGAGCAGCAGCTGTCCGTCGCTGGAGCCGCAAGCAATGTAGCGCAGGCTACACATGCACGCATGAGTCCCTGCAACGAGGTCGGTCTACCCTCGTACTTGATGGCCATCGAGCACACAATGACGTCCTTGATCGGAACGCTCGCAACTTCGAGGAAGAGCTTGCCGCCGTCGGCGGCCGCCCACTTGGTCAGATACGACGAGCCCCGTGCTGGCGTTTGCAGCGTCACGATCTCGTCGTGGTGAAAGTGGCAAGCCCGGTAGATGAATTTGCCGCGGTTGGCCTTGACGTCGAGCTTCTGGAGCGCAAGCTCGCCCGCAAGGCCGAGCTTACCAGTCTTGGTCCACGTCTTCTTCTTCTTGTCAGTGAGCGCCCACAGAATGCATTGTCCATCCTTCGCACACGACAAGAGCTACGAGCGGCGATGAGAGAGGCGTGTATCGTCTATCGTGTCAACCTTGGTGCTGGTCGCATGCCACGAGAGGCCGCTGATGCACCCGCTGTGACCGTTGTCGAGCTTGGCGATTTCGGTGGCCTTGAACTTTTTGGCAAAGGTCTCGTCGTTGCTGTCGTCGTCGGGGAGGGTAAGCTGCCACACGCGGACGATGCCATCTTCGCCGCCGGTCGCGAGCTTCGTTCCATCCGGGCTGAACCGCAGAACGCTCTAGAGGCCACAGTCATACAACACATCGTGGTTGTAGCCTCTCGCAGTCGTACTTGGTAGCTATCGTCCTTTGCAAAGTCCGTTTGGAATTCCGTGACATAAGTCGACGTCCTACGATGACGATGACAGGGTCTTCATCATGCGGTCGTACGTCTTGCTGCCATGGCGCACACGGTAGATCACAGTCTTGTTGCCCATCGTGAGCGCGACAAGGCCGCCCTACGTAGCGCCTCGCCCCGCCTTCGCGTAAGACCACTCCTACCTTGGTGCCAATCGAGACGCCAGAGACAAGGTCGTCGCCCGTGTCGATCTCATGAAACGGTACGAGCGTCGGCTTGATCGACGCGTCGAGCGCATGCGGGAGGCGGGCCAAGGTCTACTACATCGGTAGTCCGCAGGTCGACCGCGAGACCATCGTCGTACCACGCAGTTCTTGATGCCACTCTTGGCCGAGCCGCCGCCGCCCGCGATGGCCACGAACGAGACGTCGTCCGGGTCGCGCTGCCAGTCGAGGCCGAAGACCGGGTACTTGAGGCTCACGATCTTCCCCTCGGTCATGTTGGTGCTTCCAAAGAATGCGACGGCGTAGGTCCGCCCCCAAATCGCACTTGATCGAGACAGAGCCAAGTGCACACGCGATGCACGGGAGCGTGCCACGTCACATCCACGCCCTTCCTCAGACCCTTCCTTCCGACGTGCTTCAAACGCATGTAGTACCATGGGGCCATGCAGTATTACCTTCTGTATTCGCTTGCCATACCACCTCTCTATTGATTGATGCCTTTACTGGCACCGGACTCTGGACGCGCAAGTGCCGACTCCTGCATTAGTGATGCTGTGTCGACGACGAACGAAGCGGACTCGAATTATGACCTCGAATCGATCGACTTAAAAGGCCGGGAGGAGCCACGTGCGCACGGCTGCGTCATTGCCGATCGAGATGATCTGGTCGTCGGCCATAAACTTGGCGCCCATGACGCCGTCTTCATGCGCATAGTCAAACTGGTGGCGCGCGCTCGGCTTGGCGACGCTCCACACGAAGAGGTGCCCGTCCAAGGCGCCGCTGACCACATGCTGGCCGCTGGGCGACCACGCGACCGTCGTCACGCGCGTCGAGTGAAAGACCCACTGGCCCGCGACCTTGGCTTCGCGCGAGGCAAGGTCCCAGACGCGCACGTCGCGGTACGCGTCGCCGGCCGCCAAGAGTGATCCGTCCGGCGAGTACGCAATGCTCGTGAGCGCGCCGAGGTGGCCGACGAGCGGCGCCGTCTCCGCGAGGTGGAACGACCCGTCGGCGCCGTACACGACATCAAAGAGATGGATCGTGTTGTCTTCTTGGCCGCCGACCGCGAGTTGCGTCTATTCAGCCTGTTGTGAGATGCCTAGAATGCAAGGAGGACCGTCGTACGCCTGAGGGGTGCACGGCGATGCACGTGCCCGTCCACGCAAAGTTGGCCGTCTCGTGCACGAGCGTGCCGTTCACGATGAGCTTGACGCCCTTGTTGGAGCTCACGGCGCACATGAAGCTGTCGGACGGACCATGCGTCGCGAGCGCGAGGCCGGTCGGCTGCGCGCCATTGAGCTCGACGCTCGACGCATACGCTTCGTCCGCGACGGCGCCGAACCGGACCTTGTCGTCCCAGCCACCGCTCGCGAGGAGACCGCCCATGGCGTCAATGCACGTGATCTTGGCCGTGTGCACGTCGCCGCCAAAGCGGTGCGCCGTTGCGCCGGTCCACGCGCACACGACGCCGTCGTAGCTGCCGGTGAAAACTTGTTCTCGTCGCGGTCGATCGCGAGTGCTTGCAAGCTCACTTGGTGGCCATGCACAATTCTAATGCATCGTAAGAAGAGACGCGTATACAAGCGCGTCGTACCGGGACGGCGTGTCGGGCGATGCGAGGTTGAGGTAGTTGAGGTTGCCCGAGAGAGAGAGCGACACCATGTAGTCGCCGTGCCACACGACGGCCTGCTGCATGTCCTGGATCGTGTTGCCAAACGTAAACGTGGTCACGACGGAGAGCGTCTCGACATCCCAGAGCTTGACAGTCTTGTCGCCGGACGCCGTGAGGAGCTGCTTACTGTCCGGGCTCCAAGCGACCGAGTAGATCGAGACCGCATGCGCCTACAGGATTTCAAGCGCCTGCAAGAAGCACGTGGGCACGTACAGGAGGAAACGTCGAGAGCTTCTCGCTCGTCTTGGCGTCGTAGAGCACCATGCCCTTGTCCGAGCCCACGCTCACGGCGTAGTTGCCATCGGGCGAGTACCGGACGCAGTTGGCAAAGTTGGTGTGGCTCTGCATCGAGTGCTTGAACTTGAACGGCGGGCCCTCGAACGCGCAAACGTTAAAGTCCTCGGACGCGGTGAGGATACGGAACGGCCGCGTCGGCTTGTAGTCGACACTCAAGATGCGCTTTTGGTGGCCCGCGATTTCGCCAATGCTGTTGCCCGTGTCCCACATAAAGACCTAGGGCCGACAGGTGTAAGAGGACGAGCGTGGAGACAACGTGTCGGCGTACGCGAGCGAGGAGCGTACGGCCATCACCGACAGCGACAATGCGCTTGCTCTCGGGGTCCCAGCTCAAGTCCTTGACTTCGCCGGCAAAGACCGGCACCTCGACCTTGAGCGTGTGCTCCGGGTTGTCGTACGACCTAGTCATAATCGCCGTTGGCGTGGCTCGACATGGAGATTCGGGATGTACCAGACGCGGACCTTGCCCGACGTGTCGGCCGATGCGACCCAGTAACCATTGGGCGAGATCTTAGCAGCCGTCGTCGGGCTGTTGTGGCCTTGGTAGATAAGGCAGTTGGCAGGGTTCTCAAGGTCGCGGATCACGACGAGCTTTCCGGAGCAGTAGATGATCTTGGGCTCCTTCGGGTGCACGCCGAGGACGGTGGGGCGCCTCGCGTCGTGGTCGGCTGCGGGCAGTAGGTAGCCTAGAGCAATACTATCAGATCGGATAGCTCGCACGCTGGCGACCTTGAGGTTGGCGTTCGGAAGACGCTCGGTCAGGTTCACGGTCGACGCCATTAGGAGCTGACTGCAAGTTTGGATCTGCGGTCGTTCGAGCCTAATGGCGATCACGGATATAGTGTTCTACAACACTATTTACTACCGAATGTGTCTCAAGAAGCGCAGCAGCCCATCGAACGTGTGTGTGCCGTACATGGCAGCTCACCTACAGTACCGTACTCAATGCATCAAGTCGCTAGCCTTGCATAGAAGATGCAACCGCTTGCGCCCTGCGCTCCTACAGTAACTCACGGGTTCGCACAGTATTTCCAGCGATACCCTTGCTTGCATACACTATATAGATCATCCGGATACAATCGATCTTGCCCACAGGGGTATACAGCTGTGTTTAACCTCTACGCGTTAAACGCGCGCCACAACGGTAAAGTCGCGGACACCAATCCCACGGCTCCTCAGCGAGACGCAGCGCACAGGACGAGCTGCAAGGCGTCGCCTGACCGAGATGCACAATTAGATGTGCGCACAAGCTATATTGCCGCGGAAGAGCTGTCCATGGGATTGATACCGTGGGCGATGCTCGTAAAGTAGAGTCCTGGCACATGGCAGCTGCCTTCCTCAAGATGCGTGGTAGTACGTAGAGAGAAAAGAATGAAATGCTGCCTTCAGGAACCATGGACGCGGGGCGGTCTAACGCACACACACCACGAGACACCACGAGACACCCCGGCCTTTGATGAGTGGCGACACCGTGTTTTACCCATGTTTAAACGTTGCTGGGACTTTGCCCGTGGGTACCAATCAAGATGAGCGACGGGACGACGGGCGACCGCGAGCGGCTGCCGAGAGGCGTCAAGCGCGATAGCGACTACGCCGTCCTCAACACGGGCCAATTGATCCCGGACGTTGAGAGCCCCAAGCAGGCGACGACCAAGAAGATGCGGCCGCCTGTCGTCTGCGTGTGGTGCCACGAGCCAGGTGACGTCGTGCTCTGCGTCAACTGCGACAGCCCGTGCGTCGCCACGCTGGAATGCATGACGCTGACATGCAGTACGCTAGGTTTCATCGCGTGTGCGCTCTCAAGCGCGACCCGAGCGCGACAGCGCTCTGCGCCAAGGTACACGCAGCTGCCGAGTACGCGTGCCACCTGCCACGTAGTGCTTGCCCCGCGGCCCGCGCTACCGACTGCCGACGGCCACGACGCTTGACGACGCGGTGCGGCTGCTGCGCGAGGCCAAGAACATCGTCGTGCTCGTCGGTGCTGGCATCAGCGTCTCGTGTGGCATCCCCGACTTTCGGTCCGAGAATGGCATTTACACCATCATCCAAAAGATGGGCCTCAACGTACGTCGTCCGCATCGATGCCATTAGTATGGTCGCTCATGGCGCATGCGATCTCGTCCTAGCTGCCCGAGCCGGAAGCACTCTTTGACATTGACTTCTTCCGCTCCGACCCGTTTCCATTCTTCCACTTTGCCATGGACTTTTTCCAAGGCACGTACACACCGTCGCGCACGCACCGCTTTCTGCGCGAGCTCTACGACGCCAAGAAACTCTTGCGTGTCTACTCTCAAAACATTGACGGTCTCGAGGCCGACGCCGGCGTCCCGAACGTCGTCGCCTGCCACGGGTCCTTGGCCACCGCGTCCTGCATGCTGTGCGGGTATGCATCCCCTTGCTATTCCTGAATCGTTGCCAAGGAGGCGTGCGTAGGAAGAACGTGCCGACGTCGACGTTGCGCTTGCCCGAGGTCGTGGCGGCGAATGCTATCCCGCGATGCGACTGCGGCGGCGTCATGAAGCCCGACATCACTTTCTTTGGCCAAGCGCTCGCGCCCACGATCCGCGAGTCGCTGGCCATGGACGCGCCCAAGGTAGTATACAAGACTACTAGATCGCACTCACGAGTTAGGCCGGTCGTAGGTCGACCTCCTCATCGTCATTGGCACGTCCTTGCAAGTGTCGCCAGTCTCGGACATTCCCGCCTACTTGCCGCGCGACGTCCCGCAGCTGCTCATCAACATGGAGTCGGTCGTTGCGCGGGGCACGGACGGCTTTGACGTGGAGCTCCTCGGCGCCTGTGACACGGTCGTCGAGTACCTCCACAAAGCGATGGCGGCGGCCAATGATGCTGGTGCATCAACCAACGATGCTGCAGATACGGGCGCACCCCACCACCATGAGCCCAACGTCTACTGCTTTGGCAATGATGCGTGCTACTGGAGCGACGACGAAGACGACGACGAGAAGGGGCCGTTGGTAGACGCCTTTTTCCAGTGGTACAGTAGCAATTGCACGCTCGAGATTGTCAACCCACTCATGCCACCGTCGTAGCGACGGCTGCGCCGAGGAAGTCGACTGCGAAGAAGCTTCACGCTTCTCGTGCACGTACGTTGGAGCGACGCCAAAGCGTCCTCATGCGGTTGCGTGTGTCTAGGACGTGTTTTGATTACGACCTCTGCGAGGCCTGCCACGCGTCGGAGGATATCAAGGCGAGCCACTACGATGGCCAGCATGCGTTTGCGCTGCATTAGGACCTTTGAACGCCTCTGCAAACAATCAACGCATTGGCGGGTTGGAAATGTCAATTACACGAACGCTTCGTCGCGCAGCCGCGTCATGATGGCACGCTCGACGAACGCAGCGAGTTCGGGGTCGTCCGGGAGGTTGCAGCTAACAAATACTTGCTTCTTCGTCTTGAGCACGAGGCGCTGTGCGATCTGCGCTTCGGCCTCGTCGCCGTGGCCGCCGAGGAGACTTGCGGCGAGCGGGAACGGGTCGTACGGGGTCTTGATGGCGGTCGAGAGCGAGCTATATCCTATCCGATGAGCCCTACATGCAAAGTAGAGGCAAGCGGCGTACCCGAGCGCGGCTGCGTCGCTGGCCAAGCCAATCCACACAAAGCACGCATGTTCCAGAAGCCAGAGCTGCCATAGTCCCATGTGAGCGCTGTAGCAGCACAGAGGAGAGTCTACCTGGACGCTGAAGGCTTGGTCAACAAACTTGCTGCTAAAGTTGATGATCCGCGCGCCGTCCGTCGCCGCTGGGTCCTTGGCCACATGGAGCCCGTCCATCATCGTTGCCACTTGGTCGGCCATTGCGCTTCGGAACCTTGGGATTTACGGGCATAACATTCTCGCCTAGTGTATTAGACATAGTTAGAAACAAGTTTTAGTCGCCTCCTGCTATTATACGCATGGGTTAAAGAAGGCAATCGTGCGCATGAGTAAAAACGTTAGTTTAACGCGCCGCCCGACACTCCATTGACTTCGGTTTTACGCGATCAACCTAAAACCCAGTGCGTTGAATGTGAGATTTCGAATTTCCCACGTGGCATGGGAAGGGGCCGAAATAGCGCACCTATCCGGATACTGCGAACATTTCAGTTCGCGATGGTCGAGGTCTCTGCAGCGAGCGTGCGAGCGCAGTGGGGCGCCGGGCCAGCCGCGTCGCCCGCGGCCGCCGCCCTCTCCAAGTCCTTCTCGTCGCTCTCGTCTTGGGGACAGAACAT